AAAGGTTTTACTGAATGATATTTATAAGGGCCTTACTGTTCTCTTTCAAAAACTGAAATGCCCTTCTCCGGCACTTGAAAAAAGTTGCTCCTGCTTTTCATCTTTCCCTCTCAGAGTATAAACATTGTTTTGAGTGAAAAGAGCTGAAGGAGTGCTTACTTTCCCTTGAAATTTTATTTTTAAATAAGAGAGGGAGAAAATCCTTTTTCTGACTAATACTAATAATACAGGTCAAAGTGTCAGGCGATATACAATTAAATGGAAAACAAAAAGGTTCCCCCTCTTTTTCCCACAGTACAATGGCACTGGAATATAAATTACCGATGAAGATGAAATAATACTTCAAAGCCTATAGGGAAGGGCAGTGCCGTGTTTACAAAGTATTTTCCATGGCACGATGAGACATTAGAGAGGATGGTAACCCACGGACTCGGGGGTGTTGCTGAATAGACTGAAGCTAGCATGAGGCAGGATTTTAGGTCCCCATAGCCTATGACCCTGCGATATGCTTTGTTTTACAAGGGCAGCTGCAGTTATCAACAGATGTTTCAGCAATAAATAATTGGTATCATCTCGGAAAAGACCCATCTACCTGGGGAGAGGGCATAATACCCAGAACGCTGCCCGGCTATTACAGCCACATTAATCTCCCATCTCTCCAGGTTTCTTGGGGAGCGTACTGCAGGTGTTTTTTCTGGGAGAGGGGGACAAACTCTCTCAAGTCAGCAAGCTTTGTGTGCAGTGTAAAGGAGGTTGACCCCTGCCATAAATTTCTGTCTGTGGCCACACACCAAAGGGAAAAAGATTGGAGGGTGGGGGAGGAGGGAGGGAGCCTGGTGTGGGGGCGGGGGAGGGTCTGGGGAGGGGTGTTGAGAAGAAAGCCAAAGCACAAAACACATAAAATTTTTTTTTCTTGATAAAGTTCAGGCTGAGCGAGAACATTATAAATGACCATGAAATTCACCAGTTCGGTAACTGTGGAAAAGAGTTCTGATTTACCTTTTTCTTACGTATTTTATGTTACTGTTATTTGTGGAATTAACTGAATGACACAGTATTTTATCCTCGAAGTGTAATATTAATTTTTTTAAAGGAGGGGGATTTTTATGGGAAAGATTCCATGTCAAGGTTAAAAACAAAACAAAACACAAAGTCATAAACAAACTATAAGAAAAAAATAAGGACTGAAAAGACCAACTCATGGGCCTTTGACTATTACGTATGTCAGAGTGGAAACTCACAACTTGTCCATTATTAAAACGTGGCCATTCAGCTTCATTAAGTTGTGAGGTTGAAACTGATGGTGTACTGGGACAAAAACAAGCCATGGAATTTATTCAAGCTATTTTTTAACAAGCTAAGATATTAAAAGCAGTGAGAGTTGGAGAGAGCCTGGCCCACAGGGCGCTATAGTTCTCTGTATTTACAAACAGAGTGGTTTAGCAATTGTGCACTTGGGGTCTGGCACAATAGGAAAGTGCCCTAAAATCTTAGGAGGTGTGGTTCCTAATTTATAGCTTGCTGGGTAAGCTAAAGAAAATGATGCTCAGAGTTCAAAAAGCTCCCAGATTAAATACCTTAGGGACTAAAGGAGGCCTAATGGACTGATTCTTAGAGCTGCCACTGAGTGACCTTGTGAACCGGACACAAACTTCTTCAATTCTCGGTGCCTCTGTTTCCATAGTTGTGAAATACATAGAGGAATAGTGAGAGAGTGATGAATGTGCTGTAAAAACAGTTCAACAACCTTGAACAGCTCATCTCCCAGCTCACATTAATCCCCAGATGCACCGAGACTCAAGAGTCTAAAAACATCAGCTTCAATTTTTCAACTAATATTGCTACCCACTTTGGAAACAGGGAGGCGAAACTGGTGATCGCAGGATGAAACCAGAGAAGTAAAAGCCTGGTAACAGTGATGTGCTACATCCCAAAGATGCTTCACCCTATGTTCCAAGTCAGAGAAACTTTCTCGCCCAATGGTCAAAGCAGGGGCTGCTTCCAGCACAGCCACTCTGCTCTCACTTTCCCAGGAAGGCTTGTAGCATTTCCTGTGCCACCAGCCTAATCATACAAGGACTCCCTTAGCAAGGGAAGCTATGGCAGGCTCTTCCAGAGCAGCTCCCGTTTAAGCAACAACTCCCAGAATTGATGGAGAAGAGATGTCTTTCCTGGCTGGTCTCAGTGTTCACTTGGGATTCTCCTTTTGTTTTTACCTTGTCCCTTTGGTCCTCACCTCTCCATTAAGGATCTGCCTTTCTCTCTCATTCTCCCCTCTATTTTTTTCTTCAGGGCAGCAGTTCTCAAACTTCAGCCTTCATAATCATCTGGAGCCCTTGTCTAATGCTAAGTGCTGAGTTTCCACTCCCAGGATTTTTGATTGTGTAGAGGATTTTTGATATGGAATTTCCAAGTTCCCGTGGGATTCTGACACTGTGCTTGGGAGGTCTCGCTGTAAAAAGCATTGAAGTAGAGATGCACTGTCCAATAGAATGGTGGCCCTGGCCACATGTGGCTGTCTTCATAGGAATTAATAAAAAGTCAATAAAACTATAAATGATGGGTGAGTATCCACTCTAATGTCTCATGGAAAATACTCTGTAAACACTGCATTTCTCTTCCCTCTAGGCTTTGAATTTTAATTCCTCTTCATTGGTAGTTTATATTCTAATGCTGTTGTATTGCAGGGGGAAAAAGGGGGAAACTTTTTGCTTTCCATTTAATCATATATCGCCTAGCACTATGAAGTACTCAAGAGCCACATGCAACTAGTGGCTGTCTTGTTGGACAGACTCCTTCTAGAGGAGGTCTCCTGGACAGTCTGCTTGAACACATCTCAGGGCTTCCTGATGGAAAACTGGGATTGGAAAAAAGAGGAGGCTAAAAGTCAAAGCTCTCCCATATACTCCTCCATTCCCTTGGACAAATTTGTCTTTCTGCACCTTAGTTGCCTCCTTTGTAAAATGAAGATAATAACGGTGATAACCACCATAAGGCTATCTTGAGAAATTAAATGAGATTATGCACATGCAAACACTTTGCAGACTCAATAGTGATTAAAAAAATTATACTTATTTCATTCCACTTCTCTACTAATATCAACCACATTTATTTAAAACTCCTGGCTCAACACTGCATTCTTTCCAAGTACTCACTTTCCTGGGCTTGCCATCCCCAGTCTGCTTAACCTGTTTGCTTAGTTTTGTCGGGGGTATGAGAGAAGTGGAGGTTTCACTATTTCTGGTAAGTCCCTAAATGTGCTGCTGAATGTCCATAGATCAAGGGGTCTTTCCTAGATTTTTGCTTTAACAGTTAAGGACAATTTCTATACATTTATTTTTGGGATGATCCCAAAACACAATCCCATGTAAACTGAGAGAGTAAAAATTTTAGGATGTTGTCATTGTTCTAATGCCTGATCTCCAAACAAAGGAAATTTTATGTGATGAAAAAAATACCTATAAGCCAGTAGGATTCCTTGACAACCTCCTAAAAGAATGTAGGCACAAAAACAATGTCACTAAAAAGGAAAATGGGCTGGGTATGGTGGCACATGCCCATAATCCCAGCTACTCCAGAGGCTGAGGCAGGAGGATCTCAAGTTTGAGGATGGTCTCGGCCACTGCGTGAGGCCCTGTGTCAAAATAAAATTTTGAAAAAGGACTGGGCAATGTAGCTCAGTAGTAGAGTGCCCCTGGGTTCAATCTACAGTACCACCCAGGAAAAAAAATTTTAATAAAAATAAAACAAAATAATTAATGAGGCCCTAGTATTCCCAGTATCACCACCACCAAAAAAAAAAAAAAAAAAAAAAAAAAATCCCCAGAACCTAATCTAAGCCTGAATTCTTAGCCCTAACCAGGATTCCTATGCTGTTCCTGAAGTTCTCTCCTATCTGGAGTAGAGGTATCCACTCAATTCATTTCTGATAGATGAGTTGAGGATAAGCATGTCAATGACTTTGACCTGATGCTTCCGAAACAGCCTTAAACATGAGAAGCTAAGGGAACAAATAAAATGGAATCCAGGGAAGGGATATAAACTAATCCATATTCATATGGACCTGATTTTATATTTAGGTATGGGATTCAAAATATGGCAGAGACAAACAGAATAGATAACATAATATTAATAAATAGTTACTATTACATTTATTATTCTCTTTCAGATTTTATGAAAACTGGATGGAAGTCAATAGTACCACTTAATACTAAGTGAATCTGACCTTCATCAATAGTTAGAAACATACAAGAATAATCATACTACATCAACCAAGTGTTAATACCAAGCAGAGACTTCAAAACCGAAGTGGTGATTAGATGAATAATAATAATTCAATTGGTGTAGGAGAAACACTGTTAAGAAAATAGAGCCAACAATCTCATATAAACCATGAAATCCTGTTGCTATAAAGAATGTTGAGCATAAATACCATCAGAGACAGTAAAAGATGTTTTGAAATATCCTGAGGCTTGAAAAAGTGTCAAATAAAATCCTAACAGGAGGACTTGAATTATATGTTTTTGATCGCCTCTATTAAATTATGATTAATTAGGAGGGCTTAAATTATGTTTTCAATTACTGTTAAACTTCAACAGTTTAGTCAGCAAGTCACCTTGATGAGGCAGTGAATGATTTATTTTTTTAAAGCTACCCAACTTTTAGAAAGTGGCTTTTTAAAATAAGAATGCTATGAGGCATAGTGGAATCAAAACTGCTTTGGTTCACCAAGGATGCCTAAATGGTTCAGGATGACAGGTTTCATATTGGACCCACCCACCGCCCTTGTTCACTTTTACTAGGTATGCCTTTCCAACATCAGATCTTACAGGCAGATGCTTTTCGAACAGCAATTTCCCCTACATTAGTCAATCTGGCAGAGCAGACCATAAAGATAGGGACTGTCTTTTGCTTCAAAGGAATTTAATCTATTAGACCACTTAGAGACTAAATGCCTCACTTGGGGATGTCAGAGGGACAGGTGGTGGAGCTCTTCCTACCAGTAACTGCTGCAACCCGGCGCCAATCACATCCTGCAGGTTTGTTTTGTCCTCTGGGCTCATGGCTTGTTTGTACTGCCACTTTTCAGGCACGAAGGGCCACTTCATTTCCTTCGCCTCCTGGATCAGGGTCCTTAACTCGCTGGGGAGTGAAGCTGCAGAGGTCAGAGTTCAGGTAAGGAAATTGCAGTCAAAGAAAAGGCTGTTGAACTCCCCCATGTTATGATGAAGCACCTCAGTAGCAAAAACACTTTTCCCTAGCTCTTGTGGCTGGTCTGAGCTGTTGGTTCTGACTCAAAGAATAATAGCAAGGAGCTATCTGTCAGGGGTGGCCCTGCTCTCCTTTGCCCTACAGGTAAATTGGGGTAGTCAGGCATTAAGAAAGGTTTTTAGCAGGAAGTAAAGCACTTCAGTGACTATCTCTGCATGAAGAATCAGAGAAAGGAATGGAGGAAATATTATTTTCCCTGTAAAATGAGAAAGGGACTGGAATGGAATGGTATTGTGGGCTTGTGGCAGCTGGGTAATGTAGACCGTAAGTTTGTTCAACCTCTTTTTGCTTCTTTAAGACCCCATCTCATTCTTTCACCATGGACAACACTTGAGTCCAGACAATAAATATGAAAAACACAGATGAGATTTGAAGAGAGATCAATTAAATGTGAAACAGCCTTAATTTCATGTTAGTGGCTATGTTTAAATCTCGCAGTGAGCACCAAATCTATTTCTACTGGTTCACAGTCTCCTATCCAAAATCCAGAAACCCCCAAATCTCTGGAAAGTAGAAAATTTTCCTTATGTTTACAATCCAAACTAGACTTGAATTGGGTAGGGCAATTTATAGTCCCAATTATCCTACTGAGTGAGATTACTTAGAAGTTTTGCTTAAAAAAAAAAAAGGTTGATGTCTGTCTTAGCTGCCACCCTACCTTCCGTTTCAACAATGAATAGAAACATATGTACCCAAAGACCCTCTTCCCATTGGGAAAAGTCTGAATTTTGAAGTATCTGTGATCTTCAGGGTTCTGGATAAAGGACCATGGTCCTATATACATGACTGCCAGCTATAAATCTCGTGGTACTTATCTTGCAGGTATCTCACACTGAACACGTACAAAACTTATCTCATCAGCTCTTTTCTGAACTTATTTCCCCTCATATTCTCTTTTTTGATGAATGGTACCACTGTGCACAAAATCACCCAAGTCTGAAGCCCAGACATCAGTCTAGACATTTACTTTCTCTGTCTCCCTGAATCTAACTGGTTGTTGAATCCTGTCATTTCTAAAACTCATTTCCTCCTCTTCTTTTTCAATAATTTTTGCTTGAATTGCTGTTTATAATTTCACCGAATATTCCTTATTTTTCCATATTTTTTATTGGGGCACGACAATTATACATAGTGGTGGGATTCATTGCCACATATTCATACATAGACATGATATAACAGTATAATTTGGCCAATATTATTCCCCAGTATTTCCCCTTTCCCTCCCTTCTTTCCTCCTCGTGGTTATTTTCTTCTTCTTTATTGATTTCCCTTAGATTTTCCTGAGATTCCTTCCCACTTCCTGCTTTTCTTTTCCTTTTTCCTCTCTACCTGACACATAGGAGAGAAAACATAATGACTCTTGACTTTCTGAGTTTGACTTATTTCACTTAACATAGTGTTCTCAAGTTCCATCCATTTTCCTGCAAATGAAATAATTTCATTCTTCTTTATGATTAAAACTCCACTGTATACATATGCCATATTTTCTTTATCCATTTACCCACTGATGAACATCTAGGTTGGTTCCATAGTTTGGCTATTGTGAATTGTGCAGCTATAAGCATGGGTAAGCATGTATTACTATAGTATGATGTCTTTAATTCTTTAGGATAAATACTGAGGAGTGGCATAGCCTGATCTTATGGTTGTTCCATTTTTTGTCTTTTGAGGAACCTCCATACTGATTTCTATAGTAGTTGTACTAATTTTACAATTCCAACAAGAATGTAAAAGTATTCCTTTTCTCCATATCCTCTCTGGATCATCTTCTTTATTTTTGATCTCCCCCTTTTTCCCCCTAAAAACAAGATGGATCAGGCCATTGCCTTGTATAAAATTCTTTAATTCTTGAATTTTGTACATCCTGTTCTGACTGTATCCCTCTCACTCAAAGCCTTGATGATCAAATTCAGACCCACTACTTTCAGTCTTCAATGCAAAGGTTGTCATTTTCCAGCCTACCATGACCTCAAAGAGGACTTGAAAATACCTTTCTGTGCTCTTAAACCACAGGTGCTTGCTCCTTTCAGCCTTCATACCTCCTCCTTAACTACACCTGTCTGTCTCACTGGGCTGGGAGCTTCCTGCAAATAGATATCATGTCTCATGTCCCATTCCTTTTGTAAATCACATCATGATGGGCAAAAGACCATCATGGTTAAAAGATGTGGTTACTGTTGTGTCTACATGAGGCATGCTGAATAGGGCAAAAGATATATGACAGAGAGAACAAAAACCAAAAGAAGAGAAGGAAGAAAATCTAACTGCACCTTAGTTCTTGATGGTTTTTTTTTTTTTTTTTTTTTTTGGAACTTGCCAACTAGGCAAAGGAAAGGAAGTTTCCTGTCAGGAAAGGACTGCTTGACATTGAAGGGGATATCATGTAGGCCACACCAGTGAATTATCTGCACTGATTGACACTTATAATGACTTATAAATGTCACTCTGAACACCCCCCACTCCTGGTATTCAGCAGCCTGGGGCTCCTGAGCACCTACTCTGCAATACTCTGCAACAGCAATTCCCACATTGAAAGTAGAACCCTGACATCCGGGATCTATGGGATCACAGTCTGCTGGCAAAGCTGGCTCTTACTGCCACAGACCAAATTGTAGCTTCTGAAAATGTTTCTAACGTAAGTGTAGAGAAAATTTCTTCAAGGGTATTAGAATGACCATTCAGTCCTGTTTGCTTAGAAGGGTCCTGTGTCGTCCTAGGGTACTTATCAATAGTGTCCCTTTCTGTCTCAAAAGTGTCCCAGTTTGGTAAATTATTTGGACACTGTGATGAACATAAGTCGCCTCATGACAGCAGAAATGTAATCTCTGAGTTCCCAGATCTTCATCGCCCTTTGGACTTAGTAGTTTAATCTTTCCAAATTGCTTCATCAAAATGGAGAAGGCTTATTTTTACAGCTCAGGTTTTCCTCCTGCACCCCACCTCTTCCCTACAGATCATGCCAGACCATGAGCAGTCCAGTGGAACACACTGAAAGAAAAGATGCCTCTAAAATACATCTGTAAAAGATTATCTCTTTGGACTTCAGTTTCTGCTCCATCCCGGGGAGAAGGATGTGGTTGAGAGGTGGAAGGGAGAAACATAAAATACACTGTGTTTCAGAGCCCGCTGGCTCGCCCTGCCGCCATAAGTGACCCTGTACTAATGCCTTTCTCTCGGGGGCACAAGAGCTGACGACATCGGTGGTGGCAGGACCCGCCTGCTGGAGATGCTCAGAAACCACCTGCCAGGCTAAGGGCACGCGTTCCGCCCGCGCGCGGTCAACCGCCTGCACTGCTGTGCAGCACGCGGCTCGGCCGCGGGGGTGGGGAAGCTGCGGTCCTGGGTGGCTTTGCCCAGGAAGATTCCTCTCCATCGATTTACCGGATTCAGCCATCACCAGACTGTCAGCTCCGGCCCCGGTAGCCGCTGCCTCTGCCTCTGCCATCACTTACCTCTCCACGGGGCTTACCTGGAGGACCGTGTCTAATTTAGTGATTTTACAGCAGTGATTTGCCTTATCTGTAACTAAACTGATTATTTCTCCCATTCTGTGACACTTGGGAAGAAAATGCTACCCGATCAGGGGGGCTCAGAGTCTTTACTAGGGAGAACATAAAGCTTAAGGGAATTTGGGTTGAGAACACAAAGCGTGAGATGGGGTAACTGGTCAAGAGAAAAACTTGAGTAGAAGAAATGACTCCTCACCACGCACTGCCCCCGGCGTGGGGGGCGGGGGGAGAACTAGGACCAGCAACAAGGCATCTTCAGTAGATGCCCAGGAACCTGCCATTCCCTGACGAGGGTCTGACATCGAAAAACGTTGGTGATACCGGGCTAAGTCACTTGCAAGCAAAGTCACACGTGGGGGCACCTGGCTAGTAAAACAAAAGGAAACCCATAAATGATCCCACAGGAGCCTTAAAGCACCCCTGTAAAATGTGCTTTTATACAAGAAAGTGATGAAGAAAGCATTCAGAACATTTCTCCATTACATAATGAACAACAAAAGGACCCGGTGACTGTGCATTTCATTTGGGAATCTTATTTTTGCATGAAATAGCAAGACCCTAAAAAATACAAAAAAATATGAAAAGTTCATCAGAATCTAATTATATGATAAAAAGGAAACCTAAATACAGAGAGCTGCCTCTCCACAATGGGTCAAAGAACTAAAGATTGTTTTAACTTTCTAGACTTTGATTGAGACTTCCCAAATGATGACTTATCTACAACGATGAAGAGAACAAAGTACAAAATGAGCTCAAAGCCAAAATCTTAAATCCTGAGCATGATGCAATTGCTATTTGTAGAGATGAGTGGGTTTATTTTACTATGTGTTGGTGACCAAGAAAAGAGAGATTGGGCTGGTGAGATGACATATTTATGGAAACTGTAGAAGTCTATGGAAATTGATGAAGCACAAAATCCTTGTTTGAAAAAAAGTATGTGCCACCATTCAGAAGTTGCTTCAATTTTTTAATAATTGAAATTTACGTGCACCAGCCAACTTGGACCCTTTGTTCTTCTTGAACTAAACTGTTTCTTGTAGCCTCGTGTTTACTGAAGCCTAAAATTAGAACTGACAGCAATTCACTGGGACAAAGTGGGCTTCCTCCCCTGCCTGTCCGCCTGTAGCCCACATCCCATTCATGCCCTAGAAATCCACTCATCTCTCGGTGGTCATCTGCCAAGAGAAGAAAAATAGGGCAGAGATGAGAACGTGTCGTGCAGGCAGGGGAGAGGGGAGTGAACCTGCTGGCTCACCCCTGGTGCCTCCCAGCAGAACCTCACCTCTGCAGCGCTGGTCCTCGCTCTTGTCTTCCTCTGACACATCTGGCGCCTCCAACAAGATCTGGTCCAGCACTTGCTTGCACTCTTGCAGTAGTGCAGCTACAGCTTTTTGATTATTCATGATGATTACCCTCCCTGGACGATGAATCGAGTGTCCCTGGGTCTATGGTGATCAATTACCTAGGAGAAGACATCGATTCTCAATAAAGGAGACCCTTGAAGGCTGAGGTACCTGGTGAACAAAAGAGGGAGAAAGATGATTAACTGAAGTATCATCAATTATCTGTAAGACTCAAGCAGGGAGGGATAATAGGGCAAACGCATGAAAATACATGACAGCCCCTGAGGACGTTATTAGGGAAGTGTGTGAAATGACTGCGGGGTCTGGTCTAGATTGGCAGCAACTCAGAAGCATCGAGTGCAGAAGGGAGAGGGTCCCCATGCAGACCCCGGTTACACACAGTGATGTCGGTGGAATCACATGGGGCCAAATGAAATGAATGTCTGCCATGATTTATGTATCTTCTGCATTCTTCATGTATGTCAGTGCCTCTGGATCCCAATGGCACTACACTTTCTACCTTTCTGGAAATCTACAGGAAGCACCTGGCTGACAGTTCTAATGTTCACCCATAAGCATGTAGTAATATGAAGTTTACCACTCATAACCCCCTACTGACTTCCTGACTGTGCAGACTTCTTCATGCTATTTAGCATTATATAATTTGGACCAAGATAGGCAATGACAGATGTCGAATTTAAAGCTCTTCACTGCCAGGCACACTGCCAAGTAAAATAAAGAAGTGATATCCCAGAAAACCCAATTTCCTAGTACTATCCTATGGGTAAATCGATCGTATAGATGGAAGAATCTACTTATGTTGCCATGTAACTTATAAACATTGGAGAGATTTGTCATGTAAATATGAGTGTGATGTAATGAACTATTGCAGTCACGGCAATTTTTAGACCAAAATAACTCACTGAAAGTACAAAAATTCTTGATGAAAAAATAGAAAAAAGTTCTTTAATTAATAAATCTCTTTTTCATCTTCATTAATTAAAGTAGTACCTTGTAAACAGAACAAAGGAAATTATCCTCTCTCTGACTTTCCCAGAATGGATAGGGGAGCTTCTGTCTGCTTTAGACACTCTTCTAGTGCACATAGAATTGAATTATCAAAGTATGAGAATCTGAAAAAGAAGACAGTAACAGATTCCTGGATGGTTTCAGTCCCTCTGTTTCTGAGCTAACCCTTGTAACTGATGTAATCACTGAAAATATACAAGCAGTGAATTATTGTGTAAGGTTAAAAAGTACACTGTTACCTAATGGCCTTGGTTTTAAAGAATTTATATACACTTTACTGCCAAAATAAAGCTCGAGGATATCACAGGCTTGCTTTGTTAAAAATCATCATGTATTTGTTGTTGAACACAAGCAGAGTTCTTGAATTTAAAGTGCTTGTTACCTTAAAGAGCTTTCACACAAGAAACTAGTTACTGGAAGGATTTAAGCATAAGTATAAATTTAATCTCTTTTCTGTTTAGGGTATTTCGAAAAGCATTCTTGCACAAATTGAGTTGTTGGACTGAATGGTTTCCAATGACCCTTTTAACTAGAATGTCTATAAGTCACAAAGTTTTGTGCTGCAATCTGGCCATTAGTCTGCCTAGTTATAAGACGAACGAAGTAGAAAGGGTAGATGGAATTTTATTATTGTACTGCTATTGCAAAGAACAGGAGAACATGTCCATCCCTTCTGAGTACTACAGTTACCAAGAAAAGAGCTTATTAGTGGACTCAGTGGGCAAGCAGCCATGTAACAATAATGTCCCATTCTCACTGATCCTTGGAAGAGGGAGAGACTGGTTAAATGAGAGGACAGTCCAGAGACTGAGAAATGCATCTGGTGTTTGAGAAAGTTATGAACAAACTTTCTTGGCATGTGCTGTGGGTGAGTCGTACACTCATTTTTCTTTAAGCCTTAAAATAAGAAGACTCTTCTTTCCTAGTATCTCTTGTTTAGGACTTAATACACAAAGAGAGGTGAAATAAAGGAATATGAAGAGCTGGTTTGTGTACCAAAAAAATCAGACTGCATTCTAATATAATTTCAATAGCACATCATCCCTTTGTTCAAAGGCTCTCAGTAAAGTTTTACTGGTACTGTATCATCCTCTTAGGGTAGAAAGCAGTCTTTAGTTGGACCCATAGAAGCAGTAGATAGGCAAGTGTGTACTGAGAGTTGATGGGTGGTGGGGTTGGGGACATGTTGTTCAAAGCATACAAATTTTCATTAGGAGAAATAAGTTTAAGAGATCCATATTATACAGCATGGTGACTACAGTTAATGATAATATATTGTGTAGTTGAAAACTAGTAAGATATTTTAAGTGTTTTCACCACAAAATTAAGTGTGTAAGGTAAATTCATATTATAGATTGTTTTAGCCATCCTACGATGTATGTGTATAAATACAATCAAAGCATAATGTTGTACACAGGAAACATATAGTTTCAATTTGTCAACTAAAAACAAAATTAATTATAATTAATGGACAATTACATTTTAATTGTTGTGTTTATGTAAATGGTTTAAGCAGGGACAGTATATAGTAAAGAAAAGAGGACATAGAAAAAGGATACCAATGCAAACAATAGTGCTCAATAGTTTGTTGACTAATTCTTCCGCTTCATACTCTGTCATTGAACTGTGAGGCCCATGAGAGTCAATTTTGAGATTTACCTTTCTCATATATTTTTTTCCAAGGAGGCATGGTTTAAACAATTTTTAAGATGCTTCTTGTTCTTAAATTATATACTCAGTCACAATGCAGACAGATGAACTTATTTATTGCTGAAGAATTTCTGCTAATTATTGAAAATCCCTAGCTTTTTTTTTTGAAGGGCTTTATTCCATTTCATGTATTTATTTATTTGTTGTGCAAGGGCTTGAATTCAGGGTCTTACCTGTGCTAGGCAAGTGCTCTACCACTGAGCTATGTCCCCAACCCTATCTGTCCTAGTTCTTTTGAGAAATATTTTTTTTTTTTTTTAAAGAGAGAGAGAGAGAGAAATTTTTTTTTGATATTTATTTTTTAGTTTTTGTCAGACATAACATCTTTGTTTGTATGTGGTGCTGAGGATCCAACCCGGGCCGCACACATGCCAGGCGAGTGCGCTACCGCTTGAGCCACATCCCCAGCCCGAGAAATCTTAAATACAATATGTTTATGTATATTTTTCTTTGTGGTTTAGAAATAATGGTTTGAATTTTAGGGGGCTGATTATTAAATAAATATACTCTTTTGCTCCTGTTTCCTCACTTGAAACCCCGAGTCCTGAGGCAAAGCATCATAAATCTCTCCTTTTTGTCCAAGTGCTGTGAAAGATAAGATATGTGGTTCCATAGGGGCAAACAACAGGACTTGACCTAATTATTTGAATAAAGCTAGGGCAGGTCAGGGGAGGCTTCCCTGAGGACGTAATGCCTGAGTTACTCTCTGAAAGAGGAATAGGGCTTAATGAAGTTGAAAACAGTGGGGAAGGACCCTTCTGGAGAAGGAAAAACAGAGGGAATAGAAAAGGGATGTGTTGGGTAGCCTAGAGTTAAAAGGTGGGGCTGGAGAGGTAAGGAAGGGCCATGCAGGGCTGTGTGCACCAGGTAAGGAATTTTGTCTTGACCCTAAAAGTGATAATGTTAATTTCTGATGGCCATAAGACCCATGACCAGAAATTTGCATTTGGAAAAGATCGTTGTGTCTTGGCTGCAGTGCATATTGGCAGATGGGCGAATGGGAGAAGGTCACTGCAGGCAGATAAGACGGGTACTTATTGCAATAATCCAGGTGAGAGCTGTCAGGACTTTGGACCAGAATGATAGTATTAGAAATGTAGAAAATTGGACGTATCTGAGAACTGTTTAGGGAGCAAGGGCAGTATTGATGCTGGATGCTGCGTGAGATGTTAAAAACGAGTCTCAGGTTTTCTGCCTCACTGGAGTTCAAAACCGAATGGATAATGTTACTTAATATTGAGAGAAGGAAACGGAGAAGAGACAGTCTAGTAAACGACAGAAATACATCTTCTATTTTATATTTCTAGGTAGAAGGAAGATAAATCATACTATCCACAGGAAGCAAACATATTTTGCCCAAGAATACATTTCTAAAAAAGAAGAGTTTACTAAGATAATGTTTAATATTTGTGACTCTCCAAAATGTACTGAAGATATTCTTTATACTTTTCAAATGTTACAGCATTTTCCCTTTCCCCTGCACAATTCAGGGGAGTTAATAGGAAGAAAATAGTGTAACATGAGAAACACTTTGGAATCTGACCATCTGTCCAGACTTGTATGGTTCATTGTTAGGCATAACAGGCTGGAGCCCAGGACACTTTCCTCCAGGCAATGGTCCTGCTGGAAATTTTGATCAACTTCATTTATAAAAGAATCATTTTCAATTTCAACATAAGACAATTTTTGGTCCTCTGAACTGTGGCATTTTTGTGAGCTGTTCATTATTCTAAAAATCAAAGAGAAGTTTCCCAGTAATTTTTTGTAACCTATGGATTATTTTTTTATATTTTAACACATGCTTGTGTGTGTGTTAAAATGCTTGTGTTTTTTATAAAAATCACACCAAAAGGGGCCAGAGAGAGCAATCAAACATTCAGAAAACTCTAGAAAAACACTAAATACCCAACAAAGTTAGAATCATACACCCTAAGGTACACATGCCGTGCATTGCTGAATAGTCATGTGTTCATACAGTCTGTGGTTGGCTTTGACATATGCATTCTTCAGTTCCATTGGTGATTTAGAGTTCAATTGAGTGGCTGAGTATAGGATAACTGACAAATGAGCCATCATGAAAAAGAAGCAAGTAGTCTGTAATTTCAGTGACTCAGGAGGCTGAGGCAGAAGGATCGCAAGTTAGAGATACAGCCTGGGCAACTTTTAATTTTAATCCCAAAATTGAAAATTAAAAGGAGGTGGGAATGTAGGTCAGTGGTAAAGTAGTCTAGGTTCAATTTGTAGTACAGAAGAAGAGGAGGAGAAGGAGGAGGAGGAGTTGGAGGAGGAGGAGGAGGAGGAGGAGGAGGGGGAAGTAGATTATTCAAAACCTTATTTCTTTGGGCATATATGTTTACATAGAGTCTTTTTCACTAGACTTTTTCCTCCATTAGGGAGTAGATCAGGGAAAATAATGGACTCCAAAGGAGTTC